AGTGCTTGAAGTCCTAGCAATAGCAATAAGACAACAGAAGGAGATCAAGGGGATTCGAATTGGAAAGGATGAAATTAAACTTTCGTTATTTGCTGACGATATGATAGTGTACATAAGCGACCCCAAAAACTCTACCAAAGAATTCCTACAACTAATAAACACCTTTAGTAATGTGGCAGGATACAAGATCAACTCCAAAAAATCAGTTGCCCTCCTATACACAAAGGATAAAGAAGCAGAGAGAGAAATCAGAAAAACATCACCTCTCACGATAGCCACAAATAGCATAAAATATCTTGGGGTTACTCTAACCAAGGAAATGAAAGGCTTATTTGACAAGAACTTTAAGTCTTTGAAGAAAGAAATTGAGGAGGATACCAGAAAATGGAAAGACCTCCCCTGCTTTTAGATTGGGAGAATCAACATAGTAAAAATGGCAATTCTACCAAAAGCAATCTATAGATTCAATGCAATCCCCATCAAAATCCCATCAAACTTCTTCACAGATCTTGAGAGAACAATAATCAAGTTTATATGGCAAAACAAAAAACCCAGGATAGCCAAAACAATCTTATACAATAAAGGAACTTCTGGAGGTATTACCATCCCTGACTTCAAACTCTATTACAGAGCTACAGTATTGAAAACAGCTTGGTATTGGCATAAGAACAGAGAAGTCGACCTATGGAATCGAATAGAAGACCTGGATATTAACCCACAAACTTATGAACACCTGATTTTTGACAAGGGAGCTAAAGGTATACAATGGAAGAAGGAAAGCACTTTAACAAATGGTGCTGGCATAACTGGATGTCAACCTGTAGAAGAATGAAAGTAGATCCATATCTATCACCATGCACAAAACTCAAGTCCAAATGGATTAAAGACATCGACATTAATCTGTCCACTTTGAACCTGATAGAAGAGAAAGTGGGAAGTAGTCTACAAGATATATGCACAGGAGGCCACTTCCTAAGTAGGACCCCAGTAGCACAGACAATAAGAGAAACAATAAATAAATGGGATATACTGAAACTGAGAAGCTTCTGTAAAGCAAAGGACACTGTCAGTAAGACAAAAAGGCTGCCTTCTGACTGGGAGAAGATCTTCACCAACCCCTCATCAGACAAAGGTCTGATCTCCAAAATATACAAAGAACTCAAGAAACTAGACACTAAAACTCTAATTAACCCAATTAAAAATGGAGTACTGAACTGAATAGAGAATTCACAACAGATGAACTTCGAATGGCCAGAAGACACTTAAGGTCATGCTCAACCTCCTTAGCGATCAGGGAAATGCAAATCAAATCCACTTTGAGATACCATCTTACACCTGTCAGAATAGCTAAAGTCAAAAACACCAACTATAGCCTATGCTGGAGAGGATGTGGAGTGAGGGGACCACTTATCCATTGTTGGTGGGAAAGCAAACTTGTGCAGCCACTGTGGAAATTAGTGTGGCGGTTTCTCAGGAAACTGGGAGTCAACCTCTCTCACGACCTGGCAATTCCACTCTTGGGAATATACCCAAGAGATGCCCTATCCTACTACAAAAGTATTTGTTCAACTATGTTTATAGCTACACTATTTGTAATAGCCAGAACCTGTAAATAACCTAGGTGCCCCTCAATAGAAGAATGGTTAAAGAAGTTGTGGAACGTATATACATTAGAGTTTTACTCAGCTGTAAAAAACAATGACATCTTGAATTTTGCACGCAAATGGATGGAAATAGAAAACGCTTTACTGAGTGAGATAACCCAGACCCAAAAAGAGGAATATGGTATCTACTCACTCATAAGTGGATTCTAGCCATAGTTAAAGGTCTTTGAGTCTATAATTTGTGATCCTAGAGAAGCTAAATAAGAAGGTGAACCTGAAGAAAATCATATAGTTATCCTCCTGGATAGTGGAACTAGGCAAGATTCCCAGGCAAACTCGGTTGCATGGGGGGGTTGGGGTGTGGAAGTAAGGGAAGATTTTCAGGGAGAGGGAAGATGGGTGAATTGGGGAAGGCTTGAGGGAATGGGAGGCGGGGAGGGAGGAAGGATGGTTGGGGGATCAGGGAGGTTTATATCTCAGCTAAGGGAGCCATTTTAGGGTTTGCAAGAGACTTGATTCTGGAGGGGTTCCCAGTAAAAATTAAATAAAAAAATTTAAAAAAATAAAAAATTAAATTAAAAAAATAATAAAAAAAAGAAAAGAATTTTCTATGTCCATCCATTTGCATGCAAAATTCAAGATGTCATTATTTTTTACCACTGAGTAAAACTCTTATGTGTATATGTTCCACACCTTTTTTAACCATTCTTCTATTGAGGGGCACCTAGGCTGTTTCCAGGTTGTGGATATTACAAATAGTGCTGCTATGAACATAGTTGAACAAACGCTTTTGTAGTATGTTCGGGAATCTCTAGGGTATATTCCCAATGCAAATGGATGGACATAGAAAATGCTTTACTGAGTGAGGTAAGCCAGACCCAAAAAGAGGAACACGGTATGTATTAACTCATAAGTGGATTCTAACCATAATTAAAGGTCTTTGAGCCTAGTATTCGTGATCCTAGTGAAGCTAAATAAGAAGACGAACCTGATGAAGATTATTTAGCTATCCGCCAGGAGGTAGGAAATAGTCAAGAGTTCCAGGTAACCTTGGGTGCATGGGGGGGAGGGCTATTGGAAGGGGAGAGGGTTAGAGAGAAGGGAGTAGGGGAGGAATGGAGAAAGCTCGGTAGACCGGGATGGGGGGAAGGGAGGAAGGATGAATATGGGATCAGGGAAGAATATATTTCAACTAAGGGAGTCATTTTAGGGTTTACAGGAAACTTGATTATATATGGGATCCCAGGTCCAAGGAGAGATCCCCCAGATTGTTCTCTGGACAGAGGAGAGGGTGCCTGAACCGGCCTTGGCCCATAGCCATACTGATGAATATTTTGCTTATCACCATAGATCCTTCATCTGGCGATGGATGGCGATACAGACGGAGACCCACTTTGGAGCACCGGACTGAGTCCCCCAAGATCCAAATGAGGAGCAGAAGGACGAAGAAAATGACGAAGGACTGCGAGGGTTGCTATCTCCCACTGATACAAGGGGTCAGATCTATTGAGAGTTTACCAAGGGCAGTTGGACTGCGACTGAATGAGGACGTGATCCAACCAGATTCTCTGAATGTGGCCGGATTCTCTGAATGTGGCTGGCCCGGAGTCTTTCTGAGAAGCCATTGACAATGACACTGGGACTTGTTTCCTCTGCATATACTGGATTTTTGGGATCCAGTCTGTTTGGACACTCACCTTCCTGGACCTGGAGGGAGAGGGGAGGAACTTGAACTTCCCACAGGGCAGGAAACCCTGACTGCCCTTAGGGACAAAGAGGGAGGAGGAGAGGGAGGGGGGGAGTGGGAGGGTGTTGGGAAGAGGGGCGTAAATGGAAACTTTTATAATTTAATAAAATTACTTTAAAAAAGAAAAAAAAAAGAAAACGCTTTACTGAGTCAGGTAAGCCAGACCCAAAAAGAGAATTATGGTATGTATTCACTCATAAATGGATTCTAGCCATAATTAAAGGTCTTTGAGCCTATTTTCGTGATCCTAGAGAAACTGGATAGGAGGGTGAATCTGAAGAAAAGTCAGGTAGTTTTCCTCCTTGAGATTGGAAATAGACAAGAGTCCCAGGTAACCTCGGGTGTATGGGGGGGTAGGAGCGCTTTTGGAAGGGGAGAGGGTTAGAGAGAAGGGAGCAGGGGAGGAATGGGTAATGCTCGAGGGACTAGCGGGGGGAGGGAGGAAGGATAGATATGGGATCAGGGAAGAATATATCTCAACTAAGGGAGTCAGTTTAGGGTTTTCCTAGAGTCTTGATTATAAATGGGATCCCAGGTCCAAGGAGAGATCCCCAGATTGTTCTCTGGACAGAGGAGAGGGTGCCTGAACTGGCCTTGGCCCATAACCATACTGATGAATATTTTGCTTATCACCATAGATCCTTCATCTGGCGATGGATGGAGATGGAGACGGAGACCCACATCGGAACACTGGACTTAACTCCCTAGGTCCAAACAAGAAGCAGAAGGAAAGAGAACGTGAGCAAAGAAGGCAAGATCAGAGGGAACTATACAGACAGAGACCCACATTGGAGCACTGGACTGATCCCCCCAAGGTCCAAATGTGGAGCAGAAGGAGGAAGAACATGAAAAAGGAAATCAGGACCACAAGGGGTGCGATCACCCACTGATACAAGGGGACTGATCTAATGAGATTTCACCAAGGCCAGTTGACTGGGATTGAAGGAGCATGTGATCCAGCCAGATTCTCTGAATGTGGCTGGCCCGGAGTCTTTCTGAAAAGCCATTGACAATGACACTGGGACTTGTTTCCTCTGCATATACTGGATTTCTGGGATCCAGTCTGTTTGGATGCTCACCTTCCTGGACCTGGAGGGAGGGGGGAGGAGCTTGAACTACCCACAGGGTGGGAGACCCTGACTGCTCTTGGGGATGGAGAGGGAGGAGGGGAGGGAGTGGGGGGAGTGGGAGGGGGTTGGGAGGAGGGGCGGAAATGGAGACTTTTGTATTTTAATAAACTTTGAGAAAAAAAATAAATTTAACACAGGAAAATAAAAGATTTAGCAAAATGGATATTTAAATTAAGTGTTGCTTGAACTCTGTATGCCTTTAAATTAAAAACTGAGCTCAAACTTTACCCATATCTCTCATAATATTGAATATGGGGAATTTCTTCAGAGCTGTGATAGAGACAGCCTATTTCTCCAAATGTCTTCTTAAATGCTTATTCAAACTTTGAATTTTATATTTCTTCTATCCTTTTGTTAGGTCTGGACAGACCTAAAGGGTGAAGAATGCCCCGATTTTACAAATATCTTCCCTTATACTGACCAATCTATTTATTCTTCTCTCCTGTGTCTTTATTTCACTTCTGTAAATTCTTATTAATATTTTCACTCCTTGTTATTTGCCTCCTTTTTATAGGTACAATGGGATCTACAGGACTATGTTTCTACGGACACTGTGCTGTCGTGGTCCTTCTTCAAATGACCACAACAAGCTCAGGTATAAATCTGTCACTCACTCCTATAGCTTTAGCAATATTAAGTATGCCAGTAATAGTAAAAAACAAAAAAATGAGCAGGATTTTAAGACCATTATTCCTAAGGTTCTTGGTAACTCTGCTACTTTTTTATTCCCGCCATAAATACTTCTACCAAAGCAATCTAAAAAAGAAAGCATTTAATCGGACTTACGGTTTCAGAGAGTTAGAGTCCATGATAGTGAAACAATTGCGTAATGGCTGTGACAATTAAAAACTCACATCTTTTAAGCATAGTGCACACTGGGACTCAAAGCAACCTTCAGTAACATACTTACCCTAACAGGGATGCACCTACTAATTCTTCTCCCACGGTTCCACCAATGTGGATCAAGTTTTCAAAAATATGGGCCTGTGGGGTCATTTTCATTCAGACACAGTAACCAAAGGCTAAGGAATAAGTCTTTCTCAACCAGACTTCTTTACTTAGATTTGTAAATGCAAGTGAAGTACATCAAATACTTGCTCCTCAGAACCCAGTATTCACATTGAGCAAACCTGACTTATATATCACTTTTACATTGCAGAAATGATTCAGGATGTGGATTCCTATCGATGGCATTTATTAGCAAAATAAGATGAGAATAGTTGAGGCCATGAAGTATGGTACACATTTGATTTTGTAAGGGGATTTTTGCCGTCAATATATAGATTGTTTGGACGCACATACAGGAAGAGTATGAGATAATAAATGACACCGAAATGTAGAATATTCAAATACAAGCTTCATGTTAACTGAAAAAATTCTTATTGAATCATATTTAACTGAGGTTTACATTTGGTTATGTTTCCACAAATGTGTTTTCACATTATCATGAGCACAACTCTTAATATGGCTATAAATTTACTTCTGTGAGTAGAGCTGCCGGTGCATGTTTATATTTTGGTATTTTAGTGGAAATGTTATTCTGCACTGTTGCCATTTCATATCCTTACTGTGAGTATGTATGAGTTTGTCAGGTAGGTCTCATAAGTTTCAAAGTTGTTTTCACCATCTACAGGTAAGAAAATAGAGTCTCTGTAATTACATTTTCTTTTTGGATTAATAATACGTACCATATTTCAAAGCCCTCAATTTTTCTGAAATACTTTTATGTACTATTTCCTTTGCATTTCTAGTCTTCATTACCTTGATTTGTGCAACTCTTAATATTAAGAATCATTTTTTCCTCTGTTCTATCTTATCCAAGTAAATTCTGACATATTAAAATTCAAGAAATGTTAATATATTTGGGATGTGTAGAACTTTTTGCTTTCAATTTTTACTATTTTGTTGATGGCAAAGTTTCCCTAAGTTGCTATCATTTTTAATTTTCTCACTTTCAATATTTAATTTTTACATTTTTATTATAAATATTCTATACAATAGGTTTTAATCATATTCTTTCCTTTCCTAAGATCCCCTTAGTTCTTTCCTTCCTCCCTCTTCACCAAACTTCATGTTTGTGCTTTCTCATTATTTTGCTGTTGGCCCCTACCTTCAAACAGTTTTATAAGCTTCATTTTAGAGAGAATCTTTGGTCTTACAGAAAAATTGTGCACCAAGTACACATAGCTCTAACTATTTCACCTTTATAGATTTTTTTTCCTAATTATTTCTAGTTAGGAAATAGATTTATTACAATTAAGTCATCATGGGTACCTTATTACTAGCAAAAAATTAAGTTTAAATTAGAGTTAATTATTGAAATAATATTCTCTGTTTTCTAGATCATAACCAAGTATATACTGATCTTACCTTGTTTAGTTCAAAACTAAGACCCATTGATGTTAAAGTTGCATAACAACAAACTTAAGTTATGAATATCTAATCATTTAAAATATGTTCTTACTGTGTGGTGGTGGTACAAAACTTTAATCCTAGCACTTAGGAGGCAGAAGCAAGTGGATTTCTGTGAGTTCAAGGTCATCCTGGTCTACAAAGTGATTTCTAGGACAGCCAAAACTATACGGAGAAACCCTGTCTAAAAAAGCAAAATAAACAAACAAACAAATAAATAAAATATATGTTATGGAAAAGTATTTTTAAATTTTAGTTAAAATCTAATTATATCATTTACTTCTCTCCTCTCTCTAACCTCTTCCATGTTCCCCTTCCTCACTTCCTCTCAAATTTTTGGCTTTTTTCTTTAGTATTGTTACACACACACACACACACACACACACACACACACACACACACACAACCTATTTAGTCCATTTATTGTTGAGCATATGTATATACTTTTAGAGTTGGATATTTGGTATTGGAAATCATTTTTTTTCTTCTTTCATTCAGTGGACAAAAATGAGAGACTATGAAATGGCTTCTATTCTCACACTTTATTCCAGTTATGGTCTCAGTGTCAAAGTTGAGAATTTCTGAATCTCTAATCTGAAAGAGTATCTGCTGTAACTACCTGTATCAAAAGGAAAAGCAACAACAAAGATGTTTTAACTGGGTGATTCTTACAGGGGTAGACTCCAGTACTTAAACATGTCTTGCTGATGATTCTGAAGACAGATGAGAGGGTTCCATGGTAAGATATTATAGTTAATGAAAGAGAGAAATAAATAAACATTCACTGAGTAAGAATTAAATAGAAATGAACAAAGACAAGAATTAAGCAATTCAAGCTTTGTGTAACTTTGTCAGAAAAAGAACCATGAATTTATATATTAGTTTATTATAAAGTACATCAAATATTAAAATTTGTTAAATGTATAAATTATCTTCAGAATTAAGTAACTAATTATTGACAAAGGGTGCTTTTTCTGTAGTGTTTTAAGGAGAAATAGGCAGAGGGGAAAGCAGAGGGATGGGGAGTAGGGAAAGAGACAGATTTAAATAAAATACAAGTTATGTCCTGTCACTATTACCTTAGATTCTTCTTTTCCTTTCCAGAGAGATTCACAGTGACTGGGTTGACTAAGCCAGTCTTGGCTACAGTGGGTGGAAACCTTGAACTCAGTTGTCAGTTGTCCCCACCACAAGATGCACAGCACATGGAGATTCGCTGGTTCAGGAACCGCTATACACAGCCTGTGCACCTGTACAGGGATGGTAAAGAACTGCATGGAGAAATCATCCCCAAGTATGTGGAGAGGACTGAACTGCTGAAAGATGACATTGGAGAAGGGAAAGTGACCCTCAAAATCTTCAGCGTGACTGTTGATGATGATGGACCATACCACTGTGTCTTCAAAGATGGAGAATTCTATGAAGAGCACATCACAGAGGTCAAGGTCACAGGTAGAGGTGGATCTTTCTGAGGCTTCTATGAATGCGCATTCTCAATACATCAGTGTTTGAAACTTAAGGAAAGTTTCAGTGTTTCTGTGTCTATAATACATCGTTCAATTACCAAGATCAATTTCGTAAATTTTGTTTTTCACCTGGATCAATATAAAAATTATAGTTGAGTACTATAGTATTAAGTCTATCAGTGAATTCTGTTTTGGGTTTACACAGATTTCCAGATTTCTAACATATCAAAAGAAAATTTAGGTTTATTTTACCCTTTTCTTGATTTCTAACAACACGTTAATAAAATGTGATAATTTTTAAGTAACCTAAACTTTAAAGTAGGTTTCTTTGGGGTAATTCTTTTTTCCCAATTCTCCTTAATTCAATTAACTGGATACTTATGTGAGATTAATTTTTCAGCATCATTTGTGTCTGTTATTATAAAATAATTTCCCCTTTCATTCTCTTAAAAATAATGTTTTATTTCTGTGTTCCCAACCAGCCATAAACTTATGGGTAGAAATTCATGTGCATCCTCCTACTACCAAAGGTGTGATAGTGGAGTGTCACTCCAGAGGTTGGTTCCCACAGCCTCTTATGGAATGGAGAGATAACAGAGGAGAAGTCATTCCAGCTGAATCAAAATCTCATTCACAGGATGGAAACAAATTGTTCAACATGACAATTTCCCTTCTTCTTAGAGAGAGCTCTCTCCAGAAAGTCATGTGCTGCCTTCAGAACCCTCTGACAGGCCAAGAAGGAAGAACAAGGGTTGTCCTATCAGGTTAGTGTGAGTATTTGTTCTTCAGTATCAGACATTGCAGGATGATTTAAAGTTAAACAATGATTTTCTTTCTTGACTTGGTCTCCAAAGCAGTACTTTCTTTTTACTTTATTAATCATACTGTTTTTTATTTTAATTGTTCTCTTTTACATATTCAGTTATTTGACTTTGGGGAATTTTATGTATGATCATGTCTGTTTCAATTTCTCCCTTTCACATTTACCCCCATATGTTCTTCAACACACATCTCTCACAATTCCATATCCTTTTAGTTATTGATAAGCTACTATGTCCAGTAAGTGCTCCCTATATAGGTATGGATTTAAGGACGTTCACTTGACCATGGGAAACCCACCAGTGGCCACACTTTCAACACAGAATAACTTACCGTCTCTCAGCAACTACATACTGACTTCAGAATAGAACTTGGAGATCATTGACCCCATTTCTGCTGGGATTTTGATGGACTTGATCTTCTGAATTTTCTTGTAAAACTGTTATAGGTTCATGCATGTAACATTTATGCCATGTCAAGATGACATCATTTTATAGCACCCCTCTCATCCTCTGGCTCTTAGATTATTCTGCCCTTGCTTCTGAAATGTTTCCCAAGCCTTAATGATGTTGGGATGAATATAGATGTCATGTTTAGGGCCTGAGTATCCAGCTGCTTATTATCAGCCTATTGAATATTACTACTGTCCATCACAAAAGAAATTTCTCTGCCCAAGTTTGAAAAGAGTCTAGATTTATGGAAATAAATAAAATCATTTAGAAGACAACTTGACAATTCAATCATTAAGAAAAATAACAATAGCAGGATCTAAATTAGTTCTTGTGAGTTTCTGAGCCAAAAGTTTTTGATCAGGATTATAGTATCAGGTATTAAATTCACTCTTATGGAGGTCTCAAACAAAATCTGAAAGCAGTTTCCCTATAATAGTTGTCCTTAGTACTCTAGCATCACTCTTATAATATACAGTATTCAGTACTAGGTATGACCATTGATGTCTTTTTTTGCCCCAGCTGGCTTCATAGCACCTTCTAGTACTGTACAAATTAGACAACAGTGAGGACACTTGATTACTGCCTTCCAAATCACACTTCATATATTTAGCTTCTTTTAACAAAATTTTTGAAGTAGTTCTTGACTCCCTTTTTTATGAAAAAATGATAGGCCTATCTTTAAAATACATTCATTGTTACTGTAATCCCAAAGCAGACATTTGATCCTGAGATCCAGTAATCAGGATTCAGTACTGTATTTCAAATGAAAAACAGCATAAATAAATAAATAAATAACTTGATGATGAGTGAACTGAGTTTGATCACATGGTTGAAAGAAAGAGCACAACAGCACATTAGCCATCTGATCTCCTAATGCGCATGCATGAATACACACATACACACAAATACATATAAAAGTTAGATATGTAAATATAAAAAATATGAAACAGAAAAGAAATTTTGAAAAAAGATGTTGGTGAAAATACATGAATGAAATTTTAATCAGTGTAGTCAAAGTGGAAAGGCAAATCTGATTGCTGTCCTACTTACAGCATCAACAGTTGTCAGATTATGTACAAGAGAAAGAACAAATGAAAGAGTTGAGGGTTTCTGGTGCCCACCAAAATTGTTGCTTTGTAAGCACTTAGGAGACATCTCCTCATGTTGCAAAGTGTTTGTCAGACCTATGGTTCTGGAATTTAAGATATATTAAGTGACAGAGCAGCTCATAAAAGAATAGTCTAAAGATGAAAACTGAGTCAAGGAGATGACTGGATGCTTCATCATTGCTTTTAACCATTACTACCCGTTTCATCCAATTTAAAACACCATTATACATGGTCATTTTTAGCAATAGAATCCTGGAAGCTACCTATTGCTACCCTTGCCTATTATTAGATATAATCAACCAGAAGGAGTGAAGACTTATTAAAACAATAGTCATAAATCATTATTCTTTCTTAAGCCTTTAAAAAGTCCCCATTTTATTCAGAATTAAATACCTCACAGTGTTTTTATGCATTGTATGTGCCCATCATCTTATTTGATATCATCTCTTTAGAGCCTCCATTGTCCTCACCAATTTATCCACATGGACTCTGCTGTTTCTCAACCATGGAGACCAACTCCTGCTCTGGACGGTTTTTACTCTCAGTATGCTGTAAATTCTACTTTACCAAGGTTTTAAATAAAAGGTTTTCAAAACCTGTATTTGTGTCATAGCCAGGGGAAAGGAGCACTTAAATTTGTCTTTTCCCTTTCACCAAAGAAGCTGCTGAGAGGGAGTGGGGGAGGATAAATTGGAAAAATGCTCTCATTTAATTTTACACCAGTCTCACACTAATTCGTGCCTGCCTTAGCTTAACCCCAGACCTGCCATGATTTTCATTGGCTCTATGAAACTTTTTCCAAAGTGTATTACATCTAAAACGCCAGGGATATGAGATCTTGAATAGGAACATGCCTTTCAGGTGTCATCATGTGTTATTGAATGGGTCCAAATACTTGATATTTTCTACATTCTAAGATGTATAACTATCTATTTCAGATGCATTTTTTTCATGGGATAGGATTTGGAAAATGATTCTGAGTATAATATTATCTGTAATGGTGATCTCCATCATTGTTTCCAGTATTCAGCAATATTACGGAAATAAACGTAAGTGGGGTAAAAGAACAAAAGATGCAAAGTGGGAAAGTGGTGGGGGGAAATAAAGCTGAATGAACCCTAATTTCCAAGCCTTTTTGTTTAGAATTCTCTAATGTCTTTTGTCATCAGTTACATGTATATCTGTAGTTATTCCTGGTTCCTAAATTACATTATCTTTATTCTAATGGAGCTGTTGGCAATGCTGTTGGTAAAACTGGGTTCCTAGACCTGAAAATTTGTTGGAATTTCTTTGTCTTATTATGATAGAGACCCAAACTAACATGGGGAACTTTTTAAAGCTTAATGGTATGAGAAGTCTTCCTGTATAAGTGTTACTTTTACTGGTTAATAAATAAAGAAGTTGCTTTCAGCCAATGGCTTAACAGAATATAAAATGATATATGTGTGTGTGTGTGTGTGTGTGTGTGTGTACATATACACACATATGTATGTATAGGTAGAGAGAGAGAGAGAGAGAGAGAGAGAGAGAGAATAGGCAGAGTCAGGGAGAAGCCATGTAGCTGCCCCAGGAGACATATGTGCCGGAACTTTGCCAGTAGGCTACAACTTCATGATGATAGACAGAATAATGGAGATGGATTAATTTAATATATAAGAGCTAGCTAGGAATAAGTTTAATCAATTGGCCAAACAGTATTGCAAATAATAAAGTTTCTGTATGGTTATTTTGGGTCTGAGAACGAACAAGAAGCCTCCGCCAACAACCTAATGCCATTTTTATGGATTTGTCACTTCACTTCTTAAAGGATCCAATGATCTTGTCAGGAGTAACAGTGATGTCCTCAACTGTACATAGCAAAATAACTAAACAGAGGTCACTTTTCATAGCAAAGGTAGAGTAGAGCTCAGAGGGAGAGATACTAATTGTGTCATCTAGTGGTTCACTTTTGATAGAAGACAAAGTTTGTATCCATTCTCAAGTTACTACACCAGAAAAGGATTAGAGAAGGGAAGGATATATGTGTGTGTGTGTGTGTGTGTGTGTGTGTGTATCCTATATATCCTCTCTCTATATATATGTGTATATATATATGTACACACATATATATATAGAGAGAGACTGTCGTAACATATATATATACACAGAGAGAGAGAGAGACTGTTACGACATTCTTTAAAAGTATAGATATAAAGACAGATATTTAGAATGTAGTTAGAAATTATGTACGTTTAATTAGTAATGTAAAAGTTTTACATTCTTCTACAAGGTCCATGATTTTACTAGTTGTGGATAGTTGGCTAGCATTCCAGGACCAGACATGGTTCTTTCTTGTTGAGTAGTCTTAAATTTAGTTAGAGAGTTGCTCATTGTCACTAAGGCATGCATGCCAGTATATAGCCTATGTGATCTTATGCCATATGCACACACACACACACACACACACACACGTGCATATGTATGTACATATATATGTACCATGAAAAAGTAATCTATGTATTTTAAAGGGTTCAGTGGGGGAAGAGAAATATGAGAAAGTTTGGAGGAAGACTAAGAAAGAGGAAAACGATGTAATTGTATTAGAAAGAGGAAAACGATGTAATTGTATTATCTCAAAAAACAGTTTTTTTAATGTAGAACTGCTATTATGTGTCTCATAATCACTCATCAAGGATTAAATATATTTTTCCAAAAAGCTCTTGAAAGATTTATATTAAAAAATTCTCTTAAATAGACCTATAGTATAAAAATCTGATCCTTTTATTCAACTGCTTCTCATTGCTGCACTTTGAACCCCAAACAGTTTATTAACTTTTGTATACAAAGTGTTGAATTGATCTTTTCAAGGGAGCAGTATATGTTTTTAATAAAAATTATGACATCAGAAACTGATTGATAAGAGGGAGCAAGGTAAAGATGAGCTTCTTCTTATAAATTTGTTAGTCTCAGCCTTAGAACTATTTCCATTCTATGAAGTTGTCTGCCCCTTCCACATGTCACTGAAAACTCTCTGAACTTCAGTTCTATGTCATGCTGTGTTCTAATGAACACGGAGAGATGACATTGGCTTATAGCTCATGTTTTCTTTCTTGATATATGATACAAATCTTAGGAATCTTTTCATTGTAACCAATGATTATAACTTTGTTTCCTTTTTTATGGATGCATCTAGCTATGTGTTTATTTTTTTTCAAATTTATTTATTTATTTGTTTATAAATAATTTCCTCCCTTCCTCCCCATACCCTCCCATTCCCTACCACTCCCTCTCCTCCTTCCCCCCACCCCCTCTCCTCCTCCCTCTCTAGTCCTAAGAGCAGTCAGGGTTTCCTGCCCTGTGGGAAGTTCAAGTTCCTCCCCTCTCCTTCCAGGTCTAGGAAGGTGAGCATCCAAACAGACTAGGATCCCAAAAAACCAGTACATGCAGACAAAACAAGTCCCAGTGCCATTGTCAATGGCTTTTCAGTCAGCCCCCATGTCAGCCACATTCAGAGACTCCGGTTTGATCACATGCTGATCGAATAACTTTGTTTCTTTAGCTAACCAGTGGGCTACTTCTTTGGTGAGAGGCATATCGATAATGATATTCTCAGTGTTGGTTGTCATAGGAGTCCTGATGTGGTTGCATATGAAAGAAAGAGGTAAGTACCATCCCATGTATAAAAACTTCCAGGAAATATCTCTTCTAAAATGTCTAGTCGCCAGTAAGACCTTTGGCAAAAGAATAGTGATACTTATTTGGATTGCAAGATTCATAGACTTCAGAACTTTATACCTGTTTTATATTTTTGTTTGCATCCTCCTCAATTTTATAGGTGTAATGGAAGTTATACAAACAAGGTAAAGACAATAAGATGTAGTAATTCTTTATATTAATCCAGAGTTGTTAGCCCCAAAGTCCAATGCGGAAGTCACAAACTTAAGCTGTATTTTCAGGTTTTTTTTAAACTAATTTTCTTGTGAGATTAGGACACAATCTAAATTTACACTGGAGTTAGCACACAAATTCATCAGTATGATTTTACAATATTAGTGATCCTTCAGGACATTGTATACAGTGTTAGAATCCATTTGTAAAACGATGGGAAGATAATTTCTTTGATCAGAATAAAGTGACTCTATCTTTTTTTATTAGTTTGGTTTAACATCTATTTTGTAAAATATTGGTGCAGCAATGCCTGCTTGCTTGTTTCTCAGTCTGATTATTTTGAAATATGTTTTTCCAACTTTTTGCTTTAGGATGGTACATATTCTTTAAGGTAAGAAGAGTGTCTTTTAGATAAGATAAAATGGATTTTGTTTCTCACCAGTTCAAATAACTTATGTCTTTTAGCTGGGGAGTTGAGGCCATTGATATCTGAAGTTATTAATGAAATTGGTTGCTGTCATTGAGAAAGTTGCTGCTTGTGATCTTAGTATGTTTCATGCTTCAATAGCTACAACTTTGTCTTCTTACTTGACTATCATTATTCTTTTGCTCCTTCTGAAATATTGCTTTGAATACTCTTTGAAGGGTTCATTTGGTGGGCATCAATACTTTTAACCTGTTTATATCGTTACAACTTTATCTTTCTCCCTAAATTATGGCAGATCATTCTTCTGGGTATAATAATCCAGGTAGATACATGTATTCTTTTGTAACTTGGAATATATTTTCCAGACTTTTGTAGCTTTCAAAGTTTCCTTTGAGAAATTGACTGTTACTCCGTAGGTTTTCCATTGTAAGTGGCTTGTGGTTTGTCCCTTTTAGCTTTCAATATCCTCTTTCTTTCTGTTAATATATTTAGTGTGTTAACTATAGTCTATCATGGGGAGTTTCTTTTCTGGTCCTGTCTGTTGGGTGTTCTGTGTGTTTCTTGTATCTGCATGATCTGTCTTTTATTAATTTGCAGAAGTTTTCTTTTCTGCTTCAATTGAAAATCTGATCTATGAATTTGAACTAGGAATCTTTTAGTATGTCTGTAGTCTGTAGATTTAATTATTTAAAGTGTACTGATGCTTCTATATATTCCTTTCCTCTGTTTTTAAAAAGTTATCTTTGTTGTCTTAGTTAAGTTTTCTATTGTTGCAAAATGGCACCATGACATGGTAACTCTTACAAAGGAAAAACATTTAATTGCAGTGGCTTACATTTTCAGAGGTTTAGTCCATTATCTTGGTGCTGCTACCTGGTGATGCGCAGGGAGACATGGTGTTAGAGAAGTAACCACATGTTCTACACCTTATCTCAGAGGTGACAGGAAGTGGTCTGAGAAACTGGGCAGTATATTGAGCATATATAAAACCTTAAAATCTACCTCCACAAGAACACATGTCCTCTAAAAAAGAGGGGGGGGGGTTGCACCTACTCCAACAAGCCCACACATCCTAATAGTGACACTCTCTTTGGGAACTATTTTCTTTTAAACCACCACAATTGTTTTTTACTGACTGGTTCAGTTCTTCTACTTTATCTTCATGTCCTGATATTCTGACATCTATTTAATTCAATCTCTTGGTAAGCCCTTCCTTTGGAATTTTCTTAGTATTTCTATCTCTTTATAGAATTCGGTTCTCAAACCTCTGTTGTCTTTATAATTTTATTCAGTGATTTTTATTTTCTTGCACTTCAATTGGGTGTTTGCTTCTGTCCTCTAATAAGTTCTTTCATGTGTTTGCTTATATTCTCTTTGGATTACTTGAATTCTTCTATCATATTTATGGTTGTTCTTTTAAAAATTATTGTTATTAGTTTCATATAGGTGATTCTCACATGGAGGGCATAGAAATTTTCTATAACTCTACTGTATAGAATTTTTGGACTTTGTCAAGAAGAAATATTACCTTTATCTTTCATTTTGTTTGTTTTTGTGGTGGGACCTAGATACATGACTTGTTTTATTGGCTGTGTGTCTGATATGACAGATGCTAGCCTACCTATATTCATATGAATAAAAATTTACTTCTGCTTTTGTTGTTGCCAAGTCTTCATTGATGTCAGGTCAAGTAGGAGGAGTAGCTAGGTCAGCCTTTTATATATTCAGTGTTGATTGCTGATTGGAGAGATTGGGGTGACTGTGATCCATTTGGAATCATGTCATGGAGTATTTTTGAATCATGTGAGGTTGTGTGGATTTATTCAAAGAAATTGTCTTGGGGATTCCCAGCTATACCCTCTCATATAAATCATTAATAAGAAAGAATCTTACAGAGTTGCCTACAAACCTATATATGGAGATATGAATTTTTTTAAAATTTAGGTTCCCTCTTCCCTAAGGAACTTTGCTTTTGCCAGGTTTACAAAACCTAACAGCACAGTATCCACTACACTGTATGCTACAAGTCACAGAAATTCTAGCATACTCTGCACTGGAGAAAGCACAGAAAGGTATCATGTATCCATTTGTCCTCCAAACTCTGGAAAATCAAGTTACCACAATGCTGATGATAGGAGTATCAGGTTCTGCCTCCTCACAACCACATTGAGGTTTAGTCTGAAGAGCCTATCTTCAATCATCTTCAACACCATCCACTTAGCCTATAGTCTACTCTCCCACACATATACTTTCAGAAGACACAGAGCAGTAGAACCTGAAAGTTAATCTATCCAAAATCTGTAGTACAACTTTACTATCTCTGCTGCAACCATCGTAATCTTTTCAACTCTCCCCAGTTCCTGTTGCAGATCCACATTTTGAATTGGATACTTTATGGTTGGAAGATATAAGCGTCATCCTTTGTGCACTGATGGTTTCTGCCACCATGTTCATTTCCTATGTATACTTCAGATTAAAAGGTAAATGAGATGAGAAGAAGGGTGTCAACTCATAGAATGTGTTTCTGTGTGATGTCAAGATATCAAAGAGCTGAAATTCTTAATCACTGTATTGCAGTATTAAAAAAAAACCAAACCAGAAAGAATGTGAGCTCTATAAACACGTTAAGGTTACAGCTTTCTCAATTCTTCTAGGTTATAATGTTATACAAATGAATGCTGGTGCCTCAAATGCTAATCACAGCCTCAGATCTGACTGCACACTTGTGACAAATGTATCAGGAGGAGGGGGAAAGACTGTTACTCTATCATCCATTTTCTGAAGCCTCTCACCGTTTTTTCCCTTTTTACCTAAAATTTTAAGGTGATAATATAATGCCATACATTCCTCTATGAGAAGCATGTAAGTTCTCACAAAAAATGGACCAAGAAAATTCCCAACCTCACATTGAAATATTTAAATATTTTATCAATTGATGTTCTGTCTTCATCTAGAACTCTGAAAACAGAGTTAATGCAATATATCCATTGATTTCTACTAGCGATTACACACTGCAATGAACTGAGAACATATCTTTCTATTAATTGCTTTTAGTCTATTCCAATGTATCTCAAAGGGTTAATACAGAATTTTATTAGAAAATGTTAATGGTGAGGCAAGCAAAAACTGAAGTTGATCAAAGTTCACTACTGACTCAAAACACTTTCAACTAGCTTTCAAATTATGAACATAAAATGATCCAGAATCAATAATCAGAAAAACATTTTTAAAAATTACAATGTCTTCAAATATGTGTATATTCTGTGTAATTTTTATACTCCTGATGTATGATAATACTACATAGTTCAGGCTAGACTAGGACCTACTCTGTAGACCAAACTGGCTTTAATCCTAGCAATTCTCCTGCAATAGCCTCCCAAGTTCTGTCTGAGATAACAGGTCCATTATACCCTGTTTTAATGTTACTAATATTTTTTAGATTTGCAAGGTTTTATTGAAATATTGGGTTAAACCTTATGTTTTATAGGTAGCCGAACTCCCTGTACCCTTACCCTGAAAGTTCGACCTTCTTCCTATGTTGCATGGTTGACTATTATGATTCTATAATTCTCACATTTGGAAGTTACAGCATAAAAGATATATAATGGTGTGAAGGGAGTTTTAGAAAATATTTTTTTTCAAAGTTTATTAAATTATAAAAGTTTCCATTTCCGCCCCACCTCCCAACACCCTCCCACTCCCCCCACTCCCTCTCCTCCTCCCTCTTCGTCCCTTAGTGCAGTCAGGGTTTCCTGCCCTGCGGGAAGTTCAAGTTCCTCCCCCCTCCCTCCAGGTCCAGGAAGGTGAGCATCCAAACAGACTGGATCCCAGAAATCCAGTATATGCAGAAGAAACAAGTCCCAGTGTCATTATCAATGGCTTTTCAGAAAGACTCTGGGCCAGCCACATCCAGAGAATCCGGCCACATTCAGAGAATCTGGTTAGATCACGTGCTCGTTCAGTTCCAGTCCAGCTGGCCTTGGTGAACTCTCATTAGATCAGTCCCCTTGTATCAGTGGGTGATGGCACCCATCGCAGTCCTGATTTCTTTTTCCATTTTCTTCATCCTTCTGCTCCTCATTTGGACCGTGGAGGGCTCAAGAAAATATTTTAAGACCACACATACCCTGTATAATTTCTGATGTCTTTCATATAAGCACTAATTTTATTTTGTAGTATCCTCTCAACAAAGCACAGGCCATGGTGATTATTACCTATGCCCTTAGAGTTTAGAGAAAGACAGATACAATGACTAAGAGAAAGATCGAAAATATCTATGACTCCTTTTCTCAATAAACTACTCCTCTACAAGAAGAACTCAAGTAGGAGGGGACATAGAGCTCCCTGGAAAGGTGAAATAGAGTAGATTTTGCCTGTTAACTGAGGGCTGGTGAAGACGAGAACTGGAAGAATGGAGTATGGAGGGAGAGAGTACTTGGAGAAAAGCCTGGAATTTGGGGGCATTTGTGGAGTTATAAGAAAGCCTAGTGCAAAATGGAAGCTCCATGGGGTCTAGCAAAGACTCCTAGTAATTGGAGACATAGAGCCTGAATAGACCATCTTCAGTATCCAGGCAAATGTTCCAGTTGTAAGACTGAGACAGCAACCCAGACACAAAATCTTTGACCAACAATCTGCCCTATATTCAAGATGTGCTGAGGTAAAGGTGGTGCAGAACTTGTTGAAATGGCCAGCCAATGACTGGTCCAACTTGAGACCCATGCCATAATAGGGAGCCCACATCTGACAGTGACTGGAGAAACAGGAACTAGAGACTGAATAGCCCAAAGACCTAGATAGAACCAAAGACACTGGCAAACAATAAAAAAGATAGATGAGGGGGGGTGTGTTCAATGAAATGATTTCTAAAGGTATTCTACTATACTTGTAGATCGGAGCCTAACCAAAGTCACAGAGAATTGCAGAGCAACCAGAACAATTGTCTCAGGTGGTATCAACCAGCATCTGATGTGTGAAGAAACTCAATTCTAAACAATCTGAAGAGCTCAGGAAACCTCACAGAAGAGAGGGAGGAAGGACTGTAGGACCCAGAGGGATCAAGGACACCTGGAGGACACAACCCACAGAATCAACTAAGCAGGGCTGATTGAGGCTCATGAAGACTGAAGTAACTAACAATCATGGAGGAGCCTGAATGGGTCTGACATAGGTCCTCTGCATATGTTATAGTTGTATATCTTGGTATCCTAAAAGTAGGAGTGGGGGTGTCTCTGACTCTTTTGCCTGCTCTTGGGACCCTTTTATTCCTACTGGATTGAATCATTCAGTCTTGATATGAGGGTTTGCGTCTAGACATATTGTATCTTATTATGCTGTATTCCACTGATATCCCTTAGAGGCCTGCTCTTGTCTGACCAGAAAGGAAGAGGAATGTATCTAGTGGAGAAGGGAGGTGGGAGGAGAATGGGGAGGAGTGGAGGGAGGGTAAATTGTAGTAAAGATGTACTATATGAGAAAAGAAAAAAAAATGAATAAATAAATAAATAATGTGCCCATTTTACTTAAAGATTCCTCCCTATAGGTATTTTTTTCTCTCATTGATTTAAACTAGAGAACTCAAGCTAATTAATGAACAAATTAAAGTTGTTGCATTTGTCTTTCTAAAGTACCTCTGGCATCCCACAGAACATCAGTATGTTATCATATATGTTCTAACTATCCTTACTTTTAGTAAGGCATGAGTTAACAGTACCTAGAGCAAACATTATTACCTGGACAGCGATGTGGTTGGGTGGAGAGAGGAATATAACGTAGGAGGAGACAGGAGCTCAGTGCAGTCTGAGGAACAGTGCAGTCTGAAGCATACTGAGGACAGGATCGCCCCTTTAGTCTGAGCATTGTTAGAGGTAAGAATGCTCTAGTGGCTGGCCACTTTGCTTCTCTGGTCTTCAATAATTCCAGAGTCAGATCTTCAACATTAACTCCTATATCTGACTCTGGAATTATTATATTAAGACCAATCATAATTTATATAACACATAGCTGACAGTGGAAAGGCATCTGGTAATAGGTGATGATGTAACTGCTTTGACAGCAGAGGCAGGCTGCTGTTTAGTGGGAACTAGCAATATGCATGTGTCCATCTGTGTAATATATATAATGTTTGTGGACATAAGATGTCAATGTCAAGTGTCTTCCTCAATCCCTCTCCACTTTAAATTTTCAAATAGGGTCTTGTAGGCAGAGTTTTCCAGTTCCATCAGTCCATTCCCAAATTATCACTTAATATTAATTACAAATATTTGGCTGATAGCTCAGGCTTATTACTAGCTAGCTCTTAAAATTTAAATTAAGCCATTTCAATTAATCTAGGTACTACCCCAAGGCTCATGGCATTTATATTTCCAATATGTCTTAATTACTCTTCTTCTGTTTGGTGACTCTTCCTCTGATTCTGCCCTCCTTCTTTCCTGCCTCTTCTATGTCTGGTTGTCCCACCCATACTTCCTGTCTCGATACTGGCCAGTCAGTTTTTCATTAAATAAATCCAAGTGACAAATATTTACAGTGCACAAAATGATTATTCCATAGCAGGGTCTCTCTGTTTAAAACTAGCATTCTCTGATTTAGCAAGAGTGACTGCCCAGAAAACCAAAAGGATCCTCCTGTCTCCACCTCTAACACATTTAAATTATAGACTTGTGCTACGGCCCTGGATTGCACACACACACACACAGTGAAATTCAGGTAGTCATGCCCACACAGTAGGCTCTTTATGTGTCAAAATAATATAGATACCTCTGTTATATTTGAAATGCCTAGAGAACTTCTCAGCACACAAAATTATTACTGGCTAAAAAAATATGAAAGTTTATTTTCCTGGTTTGATTTTTACATTTTTTATATTGCTACTAATTTACTAAAATGTACCCCATAAATGAATATATATCTTTTTGATAAAAATGAGAAAATTATTTTCAAATCTATAATGCTTAGAAAAGACATAATAGTAAAAACTTTAAATACAAAGTTTTAAAGATATAAGCTATGCAATGTGGTTTCTTGAGAATGTCCACACTGAAAATATAACTATCCTATGCCCCAGCTATAGACCATATGCACAAATCATTCTACATTTTGCCACAGAGATGCTTCCACATTCATGTTTATTGTTGCTGTTTCCACAACAGCAAGACTATGGAGACAGTCTAGATATGTACCAAGACATCAACGGATGATGAAATTATGATGCATATAGCAATTTTATTCAACCATAAATAAAAATGAAATCAATATTTGTAGGAAAACGATAGACCCATAAAATACTATATTAAGTGAGATAATCCAAGTTCAGAAAGACAAATACTCTGTTTTCTCTTATGCAGATGACTTCTAACTGTTAAATATGCACATTTATGTGAGAATGTCTGTGTATAGAGGACAGGAATTAGAAAGGGGAACATGAAATGAGAAAAAAGATTTCCTTAAGTGAGGCATTGGGTAATAGAGCACATTTGATATAAAAATTGAAGGGGAAATAATGAGAAGGGTATAGTGGAGATGGTGTGATGAAGGTGTGATTAAAAACCAGACATGGGAGAGTCAACCAAAGCCAAGCATGTGTGAAAATGTTTTAAGCAAATCTGTTACTTTGTAGGCTTATTAAAATATAAAAAATTAAAATTATGTGTGCTTCATATATATACATATAATGAATGAAGATCTACTAAGATATTTGAGAATTTAAAACTAATATTTAAAGCTATAAATTCATCATTTTTTAATTTTTTGAATAATTAAGGGCTCATTAATATATTGCCTTTCTCTATTCTGCAATAATTTATATACTATTGTATTTTTCTACATTAGTTTCCATCTGATATGTTTCATGAAGAAAAAGAAATCATGGCATTATAGTAGTTTTAAAATATTTTTTTAAAAATTTCAAATACGGAAACACAGGCTGTACTACACAGAGAGGTCCAAGAGATGAGATCACCCACCCAGTGGAGTATCCCACTCTCTAGGTCCTCCATACCAAGGGACCAAACCCTGAGCCCTTCCTCTTCCTGCATCAGCTTTCTAGACAGTCAGCAGGCAAACTTTCTGCAGGTAAGCTGCTCCAACACCCCCACCCCATTGATCAAACCCTGTAAGCTGCAAGTTCCACTCTTTCCACAAACCATTTTATTTCCCCACAAACTTAGGGGAATTCCAAAACACATGCTGAGACTACACAGAGAGGACCAAAAGGTAAGTTATCACCCACCCAGTGGGGCACCCCACTCTCTAGATCCTCCCTATTGGGGCAAAACTCCGGGCCCCTCCCCAACCTGCCTCATCTTCTCTAGTCAGTCAGCAGGAAAGATTCCTACAGGTAGGTTGCTCCAGCACCCCCAATCCATCGATTGAACCCTGTAAGCTACAAGTCCCATTCTGCCCCCAAGTCCTCATACCCCCAATGACCTCAGAGGAACTCTAAAACACAGCCTGTTACTACACAAAGAGTACCAAGAGAGGAACTCTGAAGCACAGGCTGTGACTGCACAGAGTGGACCAAGAGAACAGAAGAAGAGTTCAGACCAAGAGAGAAGTCCAAAAGAGTG